CCCAGCCCTCTCTAAGCGGTTTACAGAGTCAACCTCTTGCCCCCAACAATCTGGGTCCTCAATTGACCCACCTCAGAAGGATGGAAGGCTGAGTCAACCTCGAGCTGGTCAGGATTGAACTCATGGCAGTGAGTTAGCCTGCAGTACAGGTAAACCTTAACTTACGACCACAATGGAGCCCATCATTCCTGGTGTTAAGTGAGACATTTGTCAAGTGATTCAGCCTTGAGCCAGTGAGAATTGAACTGCTGGCAGTCAGCAGAATTACCTTGCAATGCTGTATTCTAACCACTGAGAGGGAGGGAAGGAAGGACAGTCTAAGTCTAAACAGCACTTAGACTTACACACCACAGTGCTTTTCCAGCCCTCTCTAACCAGTTTACAGAGTCAGCCTCTTGCCCCCAACAATCTGGGTCCTCATTTCACCCACCTCGGAAGAGTGCAAGGCTGAGACGGCCTTGAGCCGGTGAGAATTGAACTGCTGACAGTCGGCAGAATTAGCCTGCAATACTGCTTTCTAACCACTGGGTGGGAGCGAGGAAGAAAGATAGCAATAGCCCTTATATACCACTTCACAGTGCTTTTATAGACCTCTCTAAGCGGTTTACAGAGTCAGCCTTCCCCACCACCCCTGCCGCCAACCATCTATGTTCTCATTTTACCGACCTCGGAAGGACAGAAGGCTGAGTCGACCTTGAACCATCGAGAATCGAACTAGCCCGTCGGCAGAATTAGCCTGCAATCCTGCATTCTGACCCCTGCACCACCACGGCTCTTAAGTGAGTTTTGCCACGTCTTATTACCTTTCTCGTTCAATGAGTCACCGCAGTTGTAAAAATTAGCAACACGGTTGTTCCAGTGGCGGAATTGAAATTGTTTTACCACCAGTTCGGTGGGTGCGGCTTGGCGGATGTGCTTTGCGCGGCAAAGGTGGACCTCATGCACACGCGCATGACCTTCTCCTGCGCTCCTGCACTTTTCCTGTGTCTTCAACAGCTGATGCGTGGCTGATGCATGCCACGCGATGCAGCTGAGCTTCAGAAGCAGGAAATAAAGGTCATTAATGGGAGCCTGGGCAGGTGAGCCCAACAGCTGATCATTGGAGTGAACTGGTTTGCTCCCAGATAATCTTCAGAGTTACCGGTTTGGGAAACCGGTCCGAACCGGTACAATACCACCGCTGGGTTATTCAGTGAAGCTGGCTTCCCCATTCAACTTTGATTGGTCGGAAAGTCCCAAAAGGGGAATCACGTGACCACACCCCCTCCCCCACCCCACCCCATCCCTGGGAACACTGCAACCGTCCTAAATACAAGTCAGGCGCCAAGTGGCTGGAATTCGACCACGGGGATGCTGCAACGGTCGTAAGGGTGAGAAAAAAATCCCAGTCCTAAGTCGCTTTTTTTTCGGTGCCGTTGTAACTTTGAATGGTCACTAAGTGATCTGTTCTAAGTTGGGGACTGCCTGTCGGGACTCGTTTTCTCCAACCCTCTTTCCAAACAGCCGATGATCTTTTGCAGTCTACAGACTCAAAGTGCAGTGAAATCAGAAGTTTTTATTAAAACGAGAAACGCAACGTTCTTGGCTCCGTGTGTGTGTGTGTGTGTTTGTGTGTGTGTGTGTGTGTGTGTGTGTGTGTGTTGGCGCAGGGAGGGCCAGGTTCACGCCCCACTTGGAAGCGACAAAGCTGTATCGAAGCCTGGTGAGGGCGGCTCAAAAGGCCACCATTGTCCCTTCTGCAGAACGACCCCTTTGTCTTCCCACGAACGAAGTTAGGTCTTGTGGGCGTTTCTTTTGTCCAGAAAGAAGGAGAAACTCAAAGCTGTGTGTGAGGAGGAAGGGAAAGGATGGATCCCGCTGCAAGAAACTTGCTTCGTCTTCTTCTTCTTCTTCTCCTCCATCGTTGTCCTTCACCGAGTTCTTCTCTTACGCAGACAACACCAGCAGATCCTGACCAAAACAAGACCCCATCTATGAATTCCCGTATTGTGGACCCTTCATCTTGCAAACTTTCATGGGGCAGGAATATCATCCAGGGGTGGGCCGCTGGGGATTCGCAGGGGTTCGGGCAATCCTCTAGCTAACCATGTGGGGACTCCCCTCCCACGAGTCCCCACATGGCCCGTTTTAGATGTAGGTTGTTGACTAAAAAGATACTCCTTTGGTTTTTTTAGCTGCTAGAAAAAGGGACGGGGGGGGAACAGTGCATTCCTTAAATGCCTAGATAATCACCCCAGCAGCCCAAAGTTGTCGGAGCATAAGAAGGTTATTGGAGAGCATGATGGATGACTCTTGGAGATGGATGTGTCCCATTGGAGAAGTCACATCCAGGGGCTGGGGAGAAGACCAGGGTCAAGGGGGAAATGTATGGTGTAATTTAGTATAGGCTGCACCCTGCTAAATGCCAACATAGCCACTTCTAATAAATCATTTTTTTTTTCCTCTGAGATGTGGCTGGAGACTTTTGATTTGAATGGGGATGGATTCGGTGAAGCCCTGACATAGGTAAGTGCAGGGCCCATGCCGAGGCTTGGGGAGGGTGAAAAACAGCTTCCAGGGAGCCTCTGGAGCCTGGGGAGGCCACTTTCACCCTCCCGGAGGCTCAAACAAAATCTCCGGAGCCTTGGGAGGGCAAAAATTGCCTGTTTTAGTAGTTGCCATTAAAAAAAAATGGCGGGGGGGGGGAAGGAAGACAATCTAGAAGAGCCGTGCAGCAGTTTGAAAGCAAAAGTCCATTCCAACTCTTTATCTTTAAAAGATTGCAACTAAACTACCAGAGCTTTTGTCCAAGAATATATTGAATTGGAGAATGTGATTGATGACACCCAGCCTGTGAACAGGCTCAATTGGAGAATCTGATTTATGACACACCCAGCGGGGAGCAGGGGAGAAACAGGGTCCCAGGGGACTGGAAATGAGGTAGGCCAGAGTTGGCTTCATGCAGGGCAGGGCCAGGATGTCTCCTCTAATAAATCCTTGGAAGTTTTTTGAAGTTTGGCTCGAGAACCATGATTTCATTAGAGCCTTCTCTCTCCCCCCTTCCCTCTCTGTCTCTTTCTCCCTCCCACTCCCTCTCTGTCTCCCTCCTTCTCTTCCTCCTTCCCTCTCTCCCTCCCTCTCTCCTTTTCTCTCCCTCCCTCTGTCTCACCCTCCCTCCTCCCCTCTCTCCCTCCCTCCTTCCCCCTCCCCTCTCCCTGTCTCTCCCTCCTTCCTTCTCCCTCCCTCCCTCTCTCCCCCTCCCTCTCTCCCTCCCTCCCTCTCTCCTACATATACATTACTGATTTCCTTCTTTAGCACTTACTTCGATGACATCAACCGAGGCGTTGTTGAAATCGATGTTCAGCAGTTTTGGGAGGGGAACTCCTCCACCTAAGACGCCTGCAGTCAGAAACAAAACAGATCAGGTTTCTAAGCTCAAAGACAAAATTAGGGAGGTTTTGCTTCCTTCTCTTTTTACCCCCCCTCCCCCCCCCCCCACGGTCTCTGCTGTGCCTCAAATAAAATGTGCATTTTGCAATATCGTGTGTGACAAACAAGCCAGGTTTACAAGTGGGCCCATGGGTGAGGCCTGGGGCAGTTCTCCCTAGCTACCAAGGAGACACAAAATCACAGGTGTTGTGGTCCTCTCCAAGGCCCATCAGTTTAAGGTCCTTGCCCCGAGGGGAGGCATCACAACTTTGCTACCTATTAAACGTGAATCATGATCTCTAGGATTGACTGTCTGGATTCTCTTCTTGTTTTCAATCAGCCCAAGGATTTATGCATCTTAGAAAGATGGCGACAACTTCAGCGTTAACGGCTGAAATTTATGTTTTCAGAAGAGAGGATTTTAAATCTTGCTCTTCTCCTCTTCCCAGGAAGCTTGGGAAAGCCACTAACACAACCTAAAGTCTTAAAAGGACCAGCTTGCATGTGGGAAACGGCCTTTCTGTTCACCCAAAGACATTTTGGTATGGATAACTTCACGGAGGGTCCATTTCATTAGGTTATTATTGGGGGTCCTTGGTGCTTCTCCAAGCTTAGTGGTTTTCTGGAAGATATTTCATGACCCAACTAGGTAACATCATCAGTGGTAGAAGAGAGGAGGGTTTGCGGAGAGGAGGAAGAGGAGAAGGAGGAGGAGAAGGAGGAGGAATTGATGGTGGTGGTGGTGGTGGAGGGGGAGGAGGATGATGACTCTGGGGTCCTTGATGCTCTCTAAACTTGGTGGTTTTCTTGAAGGCATTTCATGACCCAACTAGGGAACATCATCAGTGGTAGAAGGGAGTAGGGTTTGCTCTCTGTTTATATTCAAGTAGCTTGCTGTGTCAGTCTTGGTGGGAATGTTGTCTTCTTCTTGGTGGTGGTTCCTTGATTCGGTTTATTGTTTATTGTCCACTTGTTTGTCTGAGTTGTTTGGAGCATTGTTACTTCTTGATTGTTGGGGTAGTATTCATCTTGGAGTTAAACTCTGCTTATAGCCCAATCAAAGAACCACCAAGACTTCCAGCAACACTGATAAGGCAAGCCACTTGTACCTAAACAGAGAGCAAACCCCAAACTCTTCTAGCACTGAGGATGTTACCCAGTTGGGTCATGAAATGTCTGCAAGAAAACAGTCAAGTCAGAGAGCACCAAGGACCCCACAGTCCTTCTCCTCTCTCTCCTCCTGCTTTTCCTTCTCTTGCTCCTCCTTCTCCTCCACTCTTTGTGGCTTGGGGCTGGGTCACTTGAAGAACCATCTCCTCTCATTATTTCTTCTTCTTCTTCTTCTTCTTCTTCTTCTTCTTCTTCTTCTTCTTCTTCTTCTTCTTCTTCTTCTTCTTCTTCTTCTTCTTCTTCTTCTTCTTCTTCTTCTTCTTCTTCTTCTTCT